ACACACACACACACACACACACACACACACACACACACACACACACAGCCCAATTCCTTGCTCTGTTTCAATGCCTGTCATAGAAGACTGAAGAGGCCTGAAGTGCACAATAGTGAGGAGAATAAACAAGCAGATGAGAACATGGGGAGCAAAAGAGAAAGGAAGAGCTAAACCTAAGGGGACATATAGGTGCTTACAAAAGGATACCAGAGACAAACAGTGCTGAAACTGATGAAATGAATAAATAAATATTCTACTTAAGTGGCTTGACCTTAAATCTCTCTAAAGTAAACTTGATATACTTTGAAGTCTGCACGACTAATGGACGTTTATTCACATTATGGATTAAAAATGAATAATAATAATTTTTTGGATTACTGATTGAATCCATCATTTTGTATAAAGTGTAAAAAGAACAGTGGGAAATGACATCTTCTATTGATCTGACTGAACAACAGTCTAGAACCCAAATATTTTCTAAGAAAGATAGATGAGAGAAAATATAAAGAAGTAGCAAACTCTCATTATTTAAGATCATTGGGCCTTTTTGCTTAATAAATGACTTAAAGTAATTGGTTAACATTTTGGGGAGACCAATTATCTTCTCTCTCTCTCCGAGAGTTAGATGAGAGGACCGATGTTATGTCTAAAGCCCGTTAGCTTAGCTTAGCACAAAGACTGGAAATAAGGAAACAGCTAGCTTGACTCTGCCTTCCAGCACCCCTGATTCGCTAATCAACCCATAATATCTCTGTCTCTTTTTTGTCCGTACAAACAACGTTATGTTACTAAATAAGCCACTGTGGGTGCGGTGATATTTGATTTTAAAACAGGTGACACAGATAGCGTGATGACACTTGTAAATTGTAGCGGTTTAGAGAGGATTCAACCCAAATGACATTCCAAATAAGGTACCGAATTCCCCATATATTCAACCACTATTTGTTAAGGCTTGAAAAATATCTAGTGAACGCCATTTGGGTCGTTATTTCATAAAGATTCTCTTCTGCCTGCAATGATCTGCTTAAGACTGGAACTCAGACTAGAAGCACACACACTGCACATTCTCTCAAGTCATTTTGAAACCACACACTTGACATTCAGCTGCATTTCAGTGCGCTGTACTTCATGTGTGCTGAAACATAGAGAGTGTGTTGGGCACCTGGGTTCAGTCATCTTGAGTCTTTCCCACTTCTGCACATCTGCCTGGCTCATGGAGGCAGAAACCAAGCTCACTGGTCGGTCCCTTTGAGGGAGGGGCTTACTCTGAGCCCTCCTACGAGCCAAGTCATCCTTCACCTTATTAGGTGTCGCCTTAACCTTCCCCTCTTCCTCCCAATCCTCCTCTTCCTCATGGCGAGAGGCGGAGTTTAAGAAAGGGTTGTCTCTGCGTGTAATGATGTCAGGGACTGCTTCTTTCTCACTGTCCATTCACAGCGCCAGTACAGTGGCATCACACGGCACACATGTCACATCAAGGTGAAGCAAGCACACGTCAAACCACAAGTGACCACAACACCCAAAGAGAACAAGAAAAGTAGGAGAATGGGAGAGAATATTTAGCAGTAAGTTTGAGAGAAAATGGAAGAAAAACGGCGACACACGCAAACAACCACTGGTTAACCTGATCTCCTTCTCCTGCAGTGTTTGCTGCGAGGCTCGTCGAATGCCTTCCCAGCGCTCTCGGTCTTTGCTGCTACAAACAGGTGAAGGGACAAACTGATGCATCTTGGGAGCAACGGGGCTGCGATGGGCTCGTCTGGATGCCAGGTCGTCTTTACGAACATCTGGAACTTTCCGCACCTCTGCCTCCTCTTCCACATCAGAGGAGGAGTCCCACGCAGATTTCTGAGAGCTCAAAAAGTCATTTTCGCAGCGAAGGATGATGTTTGGGGATGGTGACCTCACTTCCTGTTCCTCCAGTGTCGGAGGGCTGGGGTTGGAGACGAGATGGGGTGGCAAGGTAATGTAAGAGATTATCAAAGATCCATTGTTCGTAGCAATGTAGCAACATGTGGAGTTCGGATTTGACATGCGTCCACAAATATTGTAATATGGCATGGTCCCGTTACATCAAGAAAATACCACACCAACTTGGAAGTAATTTATGGCCATCGAAACCTCTATTGAAATATTAATGACTGAAATGATTTAAACGAACCTCAGCCGTACGTTAAACACAGCACAGTAGCGAGCAGTTAGTCAGATCTGCAAACACACTCATTAATAAGCCAGATTGCTTCTACCAGATAACTACACAAACCAAAAGTCAAACCTCAGCACTAGTGTGAATGGAGCATCAGGTAAAGAAAACCCACAAACAAAAATTACCATCGTCATGATCCGTTAGTGAACACGACCACAACTGTCAAACCACAGCAGCGGCGGCGGCTCTCATGCCCCTCCTCTCTGACCTGCTGAAGCGAATGGCAGCAGGCAGAACTTTGACTCCTGCCTTCTCCACCTTCTGCAGCTTCTTCTGCTCCAACACTTCCTGAGTCACCGCCTCCTCTTCGTGTGTTAGTTTTTCCCCATTATTCTCAGGTGCCCAAGTGACAGTCTTGGGAGTTTTGTGGTGAAGTCCGGTTCTCTTGAACTGCTCTGAAGGGGCTTGAGGGTGACTGGGGAACGGTGTGTAATGGCAGGGAAAGATTAGGGATGAGGAAGTTTGGGTGTTTTGTGTGATTTACCTTTTCCTTCAGCTCAATTTGTGGATTTTTTCCATTGCAGCACTAAGTAACATGGGTATAAAATGCATAATTTGCATCGGAGTTATTTAAAGCACTGATTGGTTGGTCCATTACCTGCGCTGCTCTCCTTCCTCCGTATGTGGTTTTCGTCGTGGAGTCGGGATGTAGGAGCTGGCGTTGGTTCGGTTGGGAAGAAACTGGTTAAAGGGAATGGAGATTCTTGATTCACTGCTGGCAGTCCGTCTGGCCAACATGTCATCCTTCCGCACATCTGGCCTCCTGCCGGAAGCATCGGCCTCCGAGTCGCTGCCTCGCCCTGGGCAGAGAGCAATGGAGCATAATAGAGAAGTGAAGAGAGGGAAGGTTAGAAAGTATGTCAGGAATTATTTTAATTGGGCCTTGCATAATAACTTCTGTAAATGCCGAACGATATTCAAGACATATTAGCTCCATTTTGTTCATAATATCTCCAATGATATTACCAATTTGCTCCATGTCAGTAAGGGCAAAAACACTTTTAAATTAAATGGGACATGACATTTCTAGACACTTTTAAGCTTTTTAGGCATTTACAGTGACACCACACGGCAAAATCAGCTCTGTATTTGTCCATGGGGCTGCCCTTCTTCTATATTAACTTTGAAAAGACTGACAATGTAGTTATGTGTCTCTCGTTATTATATTGGCAGTCACTGAGGAACATTGATCACTTCTTCTCTTACCATCTGTTACAAGGTTATTGTGCATACATCTATGAAGTATTCTGCAAACACACAGCGAGACAGAATCCCGTGTCTTTCTTCGTTGTTGGGTAATACACATTAGTTGGTAAGGCAGCACACTTTCTCTGTGGCCTCCTGGGAATGTGGGGAATAAGTCTATTCCCGGCTCTGGAATAGCGTTTTTCTTGTCACCCTGCTGCACACATATTATACTGTCAGCATAAAAGACACAAACAGGATGCCTGTGACACTCACCCTCAAACACACACATACAGACTGACATACGACAGGCAGGATGTTGACCTCAGCCTGTGTTTCCCAGGTCCAAATCTGTAGTGATTGCTACTCAGACCAACAGCTGCTGCATCTGGGGCACCCACACACACACACACACACACACACACACACACACACACGCACACACACACAGTGTCTGAGACATTCAGCTGCTGTCCACAGCCCGCCTGACTGGTCATAACATACCAAGGTTAAAACCCCAACATGTTAGAGAACAGCAGTCAGGCTATTTATGGATGAGTGAGTGGGTTATGTTTTGCTGCTTTAAACTCTCATGTTTGTACACAGATCACGGGGCTAGCTTAGCATAGTGACTGGAGGCACGGAGAAACAGCTAGCCTGGCTCTCTTTTATTTTTCACTTTTCCTACTTAAGAGACATTTATCAGAACCAACCATCGCCGTTGCCTCGATTCACCACATCAGGAGAAGGGCTGTGCTGTGAGCGAGAGCCAAAGGAGTCCAGACTGTCAGAAACAAAAGGAAACAGACATTGTAAAATCACATGAGGGTTTTCTATCAATGGTTTGGAATTGAGTTTCTAAAATGTAGTATATGTCAACAGCTGTATTTAACCTCTCATCAGCAATGTGAAATAGCCCTGGTGTGTGCGTCTTGACAGATGTCTCTCACCTGTCTAGCGAGTTGTCGCGAGTGTGTCGTGGTGGAGACAGAGAATCACTCCTCTCGGAGTCCCAGCAGTCGTATCCGCTGTCCCTAACGCTGCGCTTCTGTGAACTGTCGCCTCCTTCCTCACTCTCCTGCAAACACACACAAAAACACACATCAGGCATCAGGAGAATATCGGGAAAAAGTAGGGAAAATGCATAAATAAGCTCACTTACGAGAAAAAACATGGTTTGAGAAATTGATTGGAAAGGAGCAAAGGAGCAAAAGGAAGAAGCCAGGTGGTCTTGTTATTTTAATAGACTTCCAATTGATCAAATAGATAAAATGTGCAGAGCCACTCTTCTTTCTCAACTCTTATATCGTGTTTCTCTTTTTGGTCTCTCCCTGAAATAGGAGTAGCTGTGGTGTAACACAAACAAAAATGTGTTTGTGTCCTGTGTCATGTGTCTCTCCTGCCCCCCCCCCCAACAAAAACAGGAAACTAACAAATGCACCCCCTGCACGCTGCTATCTGTCTTTCTGTGCGTCCCTCTCCTCCCCCGTCCTCATCACCGTGTTCACTCACCACTTTCATGTGAGCAAGAAGCCCTTCAAACTCCTTGAGTTTGAGAGTAGGGCCGCTGTAGGATGCGCAGCCGCCGGCAGCCTTCCCAAGCCAGAACACAGTGTTCAGCACCTGAGAGACACAGATTCAGGGGTTTCATGTATATTCATAAATGCTAACATACTGGCATCGAAGATGAAGCAAGGTAATTAAATGAAAGGACAATAATTGCTCACATTTTTTATTTTGCGGTTGCAGTCAGAGTCCCTGATGAGAGAGAGGTGTGTTACTGTCGTGAGAACCACATTCAAATGTACATAAACACGACAAAAAAGCCACACGAGCCTATTTACTTGAGGTTAGCTCGTATGGAAGTGTCTTGCAAGTCCCCGGGGTCAAACAGCTGGGAGCTCTTCAGGCCCAACACCTCACAGCCCCGCAGGAAGACTGACAGGTTGTCCTACAAGACAGACAGCAGGGGACCCCAGACAGTCAGAGTTTGTCACTTTGATGAAGCGGCTGGTTTACAAGGACTAATGTCACACTGGAGAGTGTCTTCTTACCAGTCCAGCGATGGGGGTAGGCAGTCTGTTGATCTTTTTGACCAGCCCTGGTTTGATTGCACTCAGCAGCCTGAGTGGAGGAGGGGAGAAGCAGAGATTTATTGAGTCTTAGAGGAGGTTATGTATGTTGTTGCGACTTCAGACATCAAAAACCGAGTGGGGGTGATGTCAGGGGCTTACTCGCATAACAGGATGCCGTTCTCCAATCCGCTGCGGAAGTCCTTGTCGCCAAAGCTCTTCCCCGTAACAGCCTGGAGGACAGGAAGAGACAGATGTAAATGTTATGTTTTAATAACAGATTCTGTTGGTTATTTTCTGATTAATCAATAAATTGTGAAAAAAAATGTTCCCGTCAAGTTTCTAGAATCCAGGGTGATGTCTTCAATTTGCTTGTTTTGTCCAACCAACAGTCCAAAATCTAAAGATATTCAACTTACAACGATATAAAGTATCAAATTCTCACATTGAGATGGTGGAAGCAGAAAATGCATTTTCTTATTGACAATGACAGAAAATAAAAAGATTAGTATTGTGCAGATATCGATATTACAAAATAAATTATTTGATCTATTAATTAATTAGAATTATTGACAATTCATTTATCATTTCAGTCATTTATCCCACATAAATGCAAGATATTCTCTGGTTCCAGCTTCTCACATGTAAAGATTTGCTATTCCTCTCTGTTTTGTAGCATTGTAAATAAAATATTTTGGCATTTGAAGATGTATTTTGGGCTTCTGATACTTCTTATGGGGTCCCTGCTTCCTGACATTTGTGAGTTTAAAGGAGGAGTAAAGTAATTAAAAAATAATCAATATATTAATCAACAGTGAAAATAGGTATTATTTGCAGCCCTAATGCGATCGCTATAATTAACAGATACATATCAAGTATAAAAGTGATTGAAGTCTGTTGAAATGTGCCCCACTGTGTCCCTGACAGAGGAACCTATTGGTTCACCCATCCCCCAACATTTTTTGCTTCAGTAGAAACCAAATTAGAGTGACGCCAAGCCACTGACACACTGCTCTGTGCCCTCATTCCAGTTTCCCTGATTTGGATGCACACGGTCGTAGCCCGATCAAACGATAACCTCAATCCTCCGACCTGGACTCCAGTTTGCAGCCTATCCTGAAGAGGCAGGAGAGGAGGAGGAAGCTACCATTGACACACTAACGCAACACCAACCCACACACACACGCACTGATTTATAGAGCGGTTGTGTAACCAGCAGCCAAAGGTGAATGGAAGAAAAGAGAGATTCGACTCTTTGGACTTCTAATCCAGATTAGCATGGATTATAGTTAGCACCAAAACTGTTAACTGCAGGCACACACTCTCTCCGTCTCTACTGCTCATGTACTGTATACTGCATGCTCTTCTACATTCACATAACCTACATTTACTCTGAGCCAATATGACAGAATGTATCTGCAACTGACCAAAATAATAATATGAGGTTACTTTGATGGCAAAATACTTGAGTCCTTTTGCTTCTTTGCTTTATCAGTCTTTGTCTCGTCTTTATTTCTAGTGATATGCATGATTCATTTCCATTTATCCATGTACAGTTCTGATGCACGTGTACCACATGCATGATAGGAACACACATACACACACACACACAAAAGTGCATCTGCAGCTATGAAAATAGCCTATTGTTTTATCGTTATGTAAGTGATGACCAGATGTTCCCCATTGTCTTCTTTTTATTTTCCCATTCTGTTGTCGCTCTCACACACACACACAGACACGCACACACACAGCTGTTGGCATATGTCATGTTTATCAAGGTTTGACTCCAGGTCTTTGAAACAGTTACAGCATGGTCATGCATAATTGACGGGTAAAAGAGAGTACTGCATCGAGTGACAGCAGGACAAATGTGTTTGTGTTTCATGTAGGTAGTGTGTGTGAGAGTGTGGGATGCAGGACACAGACAGTAGGTGGGGGTGGAGGTGGTTAACGATTGGTTATGTGTAAAATGCTGAAACTGAAACACAGTAATTAGACACAGCGACTGATGTTTTGGATGAAAAGGTCTAGAGAATGTAAGCAGAGGACAAACGATTGTGTGTGTTACTGCAAGAAAGAGACACACAGCTTGTATGTGTGTTAAGTGAGCATCAACGTCTGCCACAAAAACACAGCCAAAGGCCTTGGGGGTATTTCCACGCCAGCAACGGTAATTCGAGCCTCCCTTGCTTCCTCTCTGTCCCCATGGTGGATTGCTCTGCTCTGTGTGGGTGAATGGCAGCAGCAGCTACCATTGAAAGCCTGAGCTGGGACTGTGTGTGTGGGGGGGCAGAGGAGAAGCAGAAGTAGGCTAAAGTACCATTTACTTCATTTTTACAGTTTTAACAACTTTAAAAACATGGAAAGAATGAGAGGCTAGAAAAACAGAAAGTAGGAGAGGAGAGAAATGTGCATTACATCAAGTTAGAGGTCTAAATTGTTGCTGTAACGCATTAAAGCGATGAGACAGAATGTTGGTAATAATAACATGGGGCCATGCTGCTGACAGTTTGTTGTTTATGTTCATCATGGGACAGTTAGGTCTCCTGAGTTGACCCTAGGTTTGTGGCTCTCATGTGTTACCATAATCATTGGAGTCACAGAGATGAGCATATATAAATAGATGATAAATAGAGTGTCTGACAATAGCTGCTGTTCTTAAGATATACTTTGGATAAAAAATACCTTTCACATTTTTCTGAAGTTGATTTCCTGAGACAGAGGCCAGAAATAATCTCTTTTCTGGTTTTGTAATACACAAGAACCTCAGAAAAATATAGATGTTTATTTTGTATGAAAATAGAAAATAACAGAAAGCAGTCACAGACAAACATGTCTGTCAATACAACTTTTGGTTTACATCGTACAAATTTAGCGAGGTCATATATCGTCTTTGTTTGGATTCAGAAATAAAAGTTGCAACTTGGGAAACAAATGAAAGATCCTTTCATCTGTGAAGCAGACAGTACAAATGGTTTGAGGACTCTTGGAAAAGAAACAAAGTGTTGTTTAATGACCTAAAGCAGATGCTTTGGTTCTGTGGTGTTGATGCACGGGAGGCAGAAACTAGGGCTGAATGTACTTTACTTCCAGTAAAGCCAGTTGGTGGAGATGTTGAGGGTTAGACCCCCAGTGTGATGCACAGACTGTTTTTATTTGCGGTGCTGCAGAAGCATTAGCCTTTCTATAACGTGATCCCGTGCTGTAGGCACTAATGGACTAACGTGACATGCAGAGAAGAGGAGAAGACACTAAAGAGGAAAAAAAACTGAAAGAGAAAGAGAGAGATTTAAAGTCATAATCCGGATGGAGGATGAGTTTAATCTGGATCAAAGTAACTAACCAGTGACTCAACACTAGCAAACATCTCTTCAACTGCTGAAAATTGATATTTGTTCAATATGAGGAACAAAAACACCTCCGTGTAATCCAAGCACACTTACTGTACTACATATCTTTATCATAGTAAAACAAATTAGTGGTAAAAGCATACTACAAGTTAATTTATGGTAACGATTAGGCGTTATCATAGCGTAATCACTGCATGTAGTACTTTTAATTCAATTAAATATAAAATGTGGCAAACAAATGATATTTTAAACTGACATTTTTAATATGCCTTTGTATTTCACTCTGCACTGTACATAGAACTGTAGTCATACTTATTCAACATACTTGAAGCTGTTAGTTATTAAATCTGTATTTTACCTTTTTTCTTTTGTACAATTCAAGTAAATTGTATAAAGTACAAAATTAAGAAAATGATTTGACTGTTTGTGTGCACTTCAGGGTACATTGCATCCTAAATAGGGTACAGTTTAGTACTCAGTCAAAGTTGAAACAACACAAACTAATGCTGCTTGAAAATTCTGCTCGATGCTAATCAGAGCCAATCCATCATGTAGCATGATGCAGCATGCTGATGCTTTGCAAAACACGTTGAGATGTCTGCGACTATTCTGGCTTCACAAAAAAAACCCATTGAGGCATGAAAGACGTCTCTGTCAACAGCAAGTCTGTGTCATCATTACCTCACAGTCTTTCATACAGTATTCGATGCATGGAAAATCCCATGAATCCCTGCTCTCAGACACAGCTGGCTGTCTGAGACCATTGCAGTTAATCTGCCTCGGACAGACAGCTGTGACATCTGGCACACACACACACACACAAACACACACACATTCTTCCATTTATTCCCTGCGTGACAGACGCCTAACTCTTGCTATGTATTGTATGCCGGTGGCAGCAGAGGTTAATTGCTGTCCCTAAAGTTAACTTTGTGTTTCTCTAAGCCTGTGCAACTTTAAACTGCTCAACGTCACATCCAACAGGTGTAAAGCACAGTCGATTGTGCGCATCAGCTTTGAGACGGTCTAATCCCTCCTTGTCTCGTTTTTAAACAGATAGAAAAGGTCTTGTCTGTGCCAGTCGTATTTCCTGCTGGGGTCACGGGGTGATATATAGCCTACTGCTTTACTGCCCCCCGTCCTCCCCCTGGAAACAGTGACACCTGAGAGCCTGCCCATGTTATGTTCCCATAGTGACCAGTGCCACCCAACCGGGGCGTGTCTGAGGAGCGTGTGAGCAGTATCATGCATCGCTGATTGACATGTGTGTGTGTGTGTGTGCGCATACGCTTTGCATACTCTTACAGACATGGCAACACACATACGCAGGCTGAAAATGCTGCATGGAGCGTAGTGCAGTATGGTATACCCTGAATCATCCCCACCTGTGAGAGCACATACATACAACACGAGAAATAGAGTCAGCCTGGACGGCCTGAAAATAACTGGAGAATTAGGAGACAGGAAGACGACAAAGCAAGAGGGACAGCGAGCAAAGACACCGCAGGAGAGATTAAGACTTAGAGGCCAGCATTAACCCGAGACTACACTGCTGATGTTACGTAGTATGTTTTTAAGTACAGACCACAATGTTTCCATTGCGTTCAGTATCAAAACGTGTCAATAATTGTAAGTTGAAGCCATTTTTGTAGTTCTCAAAAAACAATCATTGTGTTTGAATGCTTGGATGTACCAAAGACAACGGTACTGAATGATACGTTTGAGTTATCCACAGGTGCAAAAGTAGATTTGAGTATGTTGTGTTTCAGAGAAACACAACAAATTAAATTTGTAAATTAAGAGTCAAGCTAGCTTTTGTTTTTACCTCGAGCTATATTTGTTTCTTGTAAATGTTTGTATCAACGGGGAGGAAAAACTGCATTCTGTAAAAACACTTTTGCAAAAAAGATGGTTGTAATGTTATTCATCTGGTGTTTGGAGTGAAATTTGTGATAACGTGTTTATAGCTGACACCAAACTCAAGCACCGTATTGGTGCCAGTATAAAATGTTCTAACCATCAATTAGTGAAATAGTATGCTGAATACAACACGGCACTTTAAAGGTTAAAGGTGCTCTATTTTTTGTGAGAATTACTAAAAGCCTAGCTGATAACTTAATCCTTCCAACTGGGATATATATACGCCATCTTTTGTCATCCTTTCTTGTGATTGAGGGCACAAGTATGATGAGAGTAAGAGACATCATACTTCAACGTCACTCATTGAAGGGGCAACTGTGGAAGTTTGGTGGAAGAGTATCTGTGCATAATATCTCTAAAGCAAATATAGGCCAATACTCTCCACAGACAGAAAAGTCTTTTTTCATAAATGCTGATCATTTCGATTTCCGTGCACTGTATTTGGGACACTTGACAGATCTAAAGTGGGTGGATGGGAAACGAATGATCGACTTCTGTGGCCTCTGGAATACTAAAAGTAGTCATGGAGGAAAGATGGCAAACTATTCAACTTTGACAGACCGATAAATAAAAGAAAACAATCTTGGGTTGCCACCCCTCTCCTACTGGTTGGGACCAGTTCAGCCCAAACCTGTTTAATTCCTTGTGATCAAATATTTTTTTAGAGGCCTAAAGAGGTTAAACTATCAAGCTTTGCTTTTCTGTCCTCTTAATAAGTCTAATAATGTATTTGTCAACCCCTTGTGTCCTTACCCTGGTTGATAACCACCGTTATAAACAGTATAGCATCTTTAATACTGTTTGGATGCATGTTTAATCTGATTCAGAGCAATTAACAGATCTCTTTAAATAAGCAATCTTATATCTGTTTTGTTTATTTGTTCTGTTTTGCATGTCTTAGCCTGTCTGTCATCTTACTACTTCTATAACAATGTAAATCAGCATTATATCTCTGCGTTTTATTATAAGTGTATGTCAGGACTGGGTTTTTACAGTCTAGCAATGACTTTCACATTTGTCAAATAACAGATCTATTATCCAACTTCTTCTTCATCTACCACAAGGTGTAGTAGACCGGCTTGTGGGAGTCCTGTGAAAACACAGCCAAGGTGTGAAGTTAAAGCCAAAACTTTCACATTAAAGTATAATCGTGTTGTACATCCAAGCCTTTGGTTTGTTTCCCAAATCTGAGATTGTTGTTGGCAGGTATAGCTATAAGCTAAATCGGGGACATGCGAAAAATAGGTCATAACGCAGCTCCACGGGCAAAAAGAATGGTGATTCACCACTCAGGCTTATAGAGAGAGGCGTGTTTATCCGAGCAGATGATGGTGGGAGCGATGCAGCAAACCGCAAACGATAATCTCATCCGATGCGATCAACGGCCGGTAGGGGCCTACTGGTTACAGCATCTCATGCGTTAATACCATGGCAACCGGAATCCACTCGCGCACGAAGAAGGGGGCGTCACACCTTTATAGCAAGTCAAAATAAAAACATTGATACTAATCTAACGGGAATGGCTACTTTGAGAGGATTACATGTATGTTTTGGTCGGTGTTTAAAATCCCCACTGTGCTCCCGTGTGTGTTTTAAATAACACTAAGAGACACACATGTGTTAAAACTTTTGGCACATATGTTCGTCCACGCGCCGCAGAGCCGTTGTCCCACACGGTAAGCGGACACTGCATCGTCCCTACAAACAGGTGACGACGCACCGGTGCTGTGGGTATTTTTATCCCCCAGTGTGGTGCGTTTCTGTCCCCGCTGCGGTGCAGCAGTAGCCCCCCCTCCCCCCCTCCCTCTCCGAGCCTCCCTGAGCGGTCACTCCTTCACTTACCTCTATCCATTTCTGTGCCTCCAGACACGCTGGTTCGGGATGGTTCGTCCCCGGCTCGTCCATCGGCGAAGCATCCGGGTCATCTCGACCTGCAGCGGGGGTAGCCATCTCCAGGCAGGCCGTTTACCGAGGACCAGAGTGTGTGCGCGTGCGTGTGGGGGGGGACGGGACAGGGGACGGTGATGCGTGATAAGATGCGTTTGTGGTTCTCCCCTCCCCGTAAAGTCCGTTGTTATCCTCCTCCTCCTCGCTTTCTACCGTCGACCGCCCCGCAACTCCACACACCAGGCAGTGCGTTGCGTAGCTCTCTCGTGCTCCCCCCGCGAGTCCTGCTCAAACCGAGGTGTCGGGGGGGGGGGGGGGGGGAAGCTTCTCGCGACCCCGTCACTGCAACACGAGCCACGCGCTAAAAATAATGATTCTTGTAGGCAGCCTAACTACGCGAGGCTTCCGCCGCGCATTTTGTTTAGACGTGAACGCGCAGGCAGGAATCTATGCGGGGGAGGTCGAGAGAGATAGAAAGCAATAGAAGAGAGAGAGAGAGAGAAGGATGGGGGAGCTGTGAGGTCTGTTTGAGTCCATGAGAGTAAGTCCACAAAGACATTTCACATGCACCAAAAAAAGTCAGAATTATTTAATGTTTCCACATTTTATTTGCTTAGTTAATTGTTAAATTAATTAGTCCCAGGACTGCTGGATTACCAAAGACAAAAATCTACCCTGGGGCCTTCAGACCCTATAGGGACGTTGTTAATTTAGTCAATTAAATAACGTTATTTGGCGTTAATACTTTTATTATTTCAGTTGATATTGTGGTACATATTCCTACAAATTGTGTTTAATCAAATTACCACAAACACACAGTAAACCTGGGCAAAATGTAAAGAAGATGGCATCTATAGATGGCAGCTACAGTAGTGTGCTCTGTAGCTGGCGGGTACTTAAGGAAACACAATATCTATTTACTCTTTTTCTTGTGGAGAAATAATTGGTTGACCTTTAAGTGGATACATTTAAAATAAAGTCTATAGATAGAAATATCTACAAAATGCACGTTCCTCAGAGCATAATGTTAACTCCAACAGGATGCTAAAACCCACCAAAATGGCCTTACTGACCTCAAATATAGCCACAGCCCTGCCTTTAAGTTACTATAACAAAGAAGTATGCCTAAACTCTTACTAACTGTATTTCACAGACTGACCAAAGAATGGTTTGGCAGTCGTCAGTAATCAGTGCTGTTGATAATAAATGCGTGCACAGGATTTTGGTATACATCTATGCCTTTATCTAAACAGAATCCTGTCATTTAAGTCAATACACTGTACCTGCTGTTATGCAACACAGATTTAAAAAAAAAAAAAAAAAAAAAAAAAAAAAAAAAAAAAAAAAAAAAAAAGTATATCCACAGTGATGAGTGGACTGACCACACAATCTATCAACAACTCTGTGGTCCCACACCTCCCGTTTCATCCCTTTACAGGATGAGCCCCAAACTGTGAGAGCCACAGGACATCAATCACTTCATCATCACCTCATGTGACAGAAGAATGAATGGGCAGTCGGCTAAAAAGCAGACTGGTGTTTTGGGGGGGGGGGGGGGGGCTATAGACGAGTCAGTTTTAAAGCAAGAGCCAGAAAGACACCAGCAGACACATGTAAGTCTAATGGTTGCTTTATTGAATTCCCACAGCTGCTTCACCAACAGAACTACAGCAACATAGTATTTGAAAGGTGCATAAAGGTAAACAATTAGTGCACAGCCTAGACATACGGTACCATCACCCTGCACTGCACGACAACAACCCAACATAGAGCAGCACTGTATTTTAAACGGTCCGTATCGTGTTTGGACATCTTGTATTTGCTGTGTTTAACTTGCACACTAATAGTGTATTTTGACTATTTGTAGATGAAGTGAAAATCCATCGTCATAAAAAAAAAAAAAAAAAAAATGCAGACATATTTCAACTGTATTCATTTCTGAAAACAAACTACTGAAATCCAAAACTATCATCTTGCACTTTAAAATTCAAACTTCTCAAAGAAAATGTCAGTTTTTCCAAAAAGACCACCACTCAAAAGGTTGTGTGTATTCTCCAATGGTTAAATTATTCCTACGGACACATTTGGGCTGTTCTGAGGAATGTCAGATCCTTATAAACTCAAACCACACAGCAACTGAAGGCGTCATGGGAAAAACATGTCTCCACACAAGTTTTCGGCCTTTTCCTTCTCACTCTTCTGTATTCTATTTATTGGCACAAAAGGTATTTAAGCATCAGGTTTTTGACAAAGATACAAAAAAAAAATAAATAAAAAAATCTGCAAAACAGACAAATGCACACAAGCAGTGGCGAGATCTGACCTCATGTTTTCCCATTGCTGAATGATATCACATAAAACAGACAAGCTTATATCAGTTTGTGTCAGCAGAACAAAAGGGTTTGATGGTGAGTTTGTGTTCATGTGTGCTTTGTTCATGAGATGAAAGAACAGTATGTGGCAACAATGTGTGCTTTATAGTGCATAGTGTCTGCAGATGTGTGGGTTCACAGGTTGTTTCTGGGTGCCTGCTCATTGTGTTTGCCATGAGAATGCTTCAGGACATTTTGGTTTCCTACCGAATATCTAACTGTGACAAAGAGCCACTGCGGAGAAACGGACCTCGCCTTGCTCCCTCTCCATGAATCCACGGCACACTTTGGCTGCATCCTGGGCATGTATGAAAAGGAGAAAGAAGAAAGTAAATTTACTGTGTAAAACTTGTATTAAGTTACATTAACTTACGTTTGATCCACTGTACGTAAAACTAGAAACACTGCACTTTTTAACTTTACTACATTTCTGACATCTGAGGTTACTCGGCTAAATGTTGTATACTCCCTAGTATACTATAGCATTAAAATATCAATACTGTAATATGAGGCTTGTTAAAATGTGGCTGTATTCATATAGCTTGTATATACACACACACACACACACACACACACACACACACACACACACAGTAGCACCTTAAGTAGTCCACAAAATACTGTAACATTTATATCAACATTTGGTCAAAACGATTACATGATCATTTGATTTCGGCCAACATTGCCCACTCACACAGTGGACTTGTGAATTAATCAATGTAATCTTACTTCAGGATAGTAGTTTATCACAACATTTAATGCAATATTTCATCAGTAATGCATGTAGAGCCCTCTTGTGGTAGTTTGATGTGACAATCCTACAGACCTGACCCTCCATGACTTCCATAGCATATCCGTATACTGGGACGAAACGCATTTCATTTTATCATAGTCATCTTCCTTATGCTCTTCCTAGACAGCTTAAGTTATGAATATAATATCTAACAAACAGACCTGATATTCACGGCTTACAGTGGCGGTTCAAGTATAAGGTGAAACATAACATTGCTTAAGTTCTAAATATCCTTTATGATCCCTATTGGAGATTTGAGAGTAGAGTGTGCATGAGCCACGTTTATTGATTGAATCAAGACACTTGGGAACGGCCACTCCCTTTTCCAGTTCATACCACCATGACTCATCACAGACCGAAAGAAACTTGGCCAACAATCCTATTTCAACATTTACAGAATGGACACCAGCTGTGAAAGAATAACCATAGTTTTACCTACCGTTATGAATGACTCCTCTTTGGTAGCTCCGTGCATCACTGGTCCATTCATTCTCCCATCTTAGGAACAAATAAGATTAGAAAATAAGAATCCACAACATGGAAACACATACAGGAATGTACACAATGAGTCGACGTGCTTACCAAATTCGTAAAGTTGGCCATTTGCATTGACAAAGGCGATAAAGTGGAAGTTCACTTTATCGGCTTCCGGCTGCGAAAGTTCAGGCGGGAAGAATTAATATTCAGAGTAAATACTGTGATACAAAAAGGCTTCAGAAAAGACAAACTGAAAGGTAACTGGTTCACATACAATTACAACGTCTCATCTCTCTGATTCCCCTTTCAGAACAGGGATGCAGGTCAAACCCACATCAGGATCTATTTGAATGAGTGAACGCGCATCAACTGACTCTCTTTCATGAACCTTCTCTCGACCAGGGTTGGATGCCGGTCGGAGGCTGCCCAGCTTTGGTGAACTGGCATTGCCACAAGGAACAGAAATCAATTCAACGATGCTACTTTTTAACCGACTCACTAACAAGAGAGAGCTCACACATGGGCCATCAGGAGAAAAAGACTGTGCATATAGATAAACAGAAAGGTGAAACTGAACTTATTTTGTCTGGTAATTAATCATTGTAACTCTCAGATTTATACTTAAGTGTTTGGAAATACACTGCAGACTGGAGTCTCATATGATTGAATCAAATGTGGGTTGACATACTTCCATCTAGTATCAGAAAGGGGAATGTGATGAAATCCATTAGCAGTTGATATTGTGGTTAAGCATCTTACCCTACACTGGCCCTGCACTGCAACCTCATTGTGAACCTCCCAGATCGCCTGGAGAAGAAAAAGTCAGAACATGTCAGTTTAATACTGCTAAAACAAAATCAGGTGTGACGACATATTCTTAATAGTGAATTCTGTAATCAGCTACCAAGGGTCCTTTAGAGTGACATAGATTTAGTGGTGTGTGGCGCCCCCAAGTGGGTAAAACAAAACATGTAGGTTATGCATAACAGAAAGTACAGAAATGAGGTGTTTATATCAGTTTTTGAATGTAATGGCATTAAATTTGAAGTTCTTATTTAAAATGTCATCTATCGCTTATAATTCTATATAAGACAGTAACCATATACGGCCTCAGATCATTAGCTCATAGACAATTAAATCTCACCGATACCATAAAAGATATTTTAGCCTTTGCCGATTTGTTTTCCCACTTTATGGAACAGCTGAATCTCCTTTCTTTAAAGATGAATCAACATAAAACAGCTTCTTACCTGGTTCTTCTCCAGATGTTTGGCACGGTCGTCAGCAGACATGTTTGCAGTCTCATCTAGAAACTTCTTCAGGGCAGAGCCACTATCTGAAAAGACCCAAACATTAAAAGGTAATCAGTAATTAATATGCCATTCATTCACATTAAAATATCCTAAATCACAACCTGCCAGACTAAATAACTGCATCGCCAATCATCAGTGTAAGTTGTATGAAGCACTTGTTATGGTCTAATTTTTCAGCCACAGATTGTAATTTGAAATGACGACAGCAAGATATCTCGGCACTGTGAATAGAAACTGCTGTGTCATTGCTACAGACCAACTGTACTTATTATGGTACCAGTGCTCGTTTGATCCACACTCACCAAATGTCATTTTGCTTTTGTTGTTGGCCACAGCATGCAGCAGGGCGATAGTCCCACAGGAATTGGCTGCCGTCTGCTTCAGGAAATAAACCTCAGAGCCTCCGGCAACCTTGTCTGCCTGCTGCTCCCTAAAAGACTCATGCTGCAACACAGACACGGATAAGAGCACGGTCATGGTTGTCAGATTGAGCTTCGTCATGATCAACTGCCCACATGAACACAGTGCGCAGTCAGTTATGTCACATTAAATGTTTGCGTGGATACGGTCAACATTGGAAAAAACGGCAATCAACCAAAATATAGAAATGTTGACAACTTATAACTCATGTCATTAATAAAGCAAAAATATATTATGGTAAATTTAACGAGGCATTGGAAGACGTCATCGTGACCTCTTGGGAACTGTAATTGACATTTTTCACAATCATCTGATATATTGTAGGTTAAATTCATTGCTAGTTGTTGCTTTATTTTGGCTGTTGACCCTGGGGATGTGGTCTGGATCCCAGGCTCACAATACAAGCACATATGAGAATGATACAGTCCAAGTTTAACAGGATAACTGGACCTTATATTGTTATCCTTGCTTCCATCCCAGCCTCCCCCTATTCTACCTCTCGCATAACAATAGAGCTCTTACTCCCTCTGCATCCATGCCCTTCCTGCACCTCAATCTAACCCCACCCGAGACAGCCTGCATCAGCGGCTCACCCCACCCTTCCATTTCCAGGAAGTGGTCTCCACCGCCATTAAACCTGTTATTGTACCTGTTGTGTCAGTGGGAAGAGCAGCATCAAGGCACAGCATGGTTTAGGGACGGCAGAGAGTTGATCCCCCTCCAGACCCAGCACGTCAACGAAGCACCAGCTTTCACCCACGCCTAGCTTGCTCATTATCTGAAAACACACAAGACAGGACAATAAACAAAAACACGAGAACCTAAATACATGTGGAAACAGCTGAGGTCTTGACATATAAATGATGCCTCCACTCCTTAGGGTGTTGAAGGATGCTGCGTTGTGTTGGTCCAGCAGGGCCACACCCTTTAGCCTAGACACTAGACACTGGGCTGGGGATGATGCTGCCGCAGGGGCATGGGGTCTTTTTTTTTTACCGGTTTTAACGGTTTAACTGCCACTCATATCTAGCTAGCTACTCTAAAACTTACCCGACAGTAGAATCAAGCAATTATCGTTACCAACACGTCACCATTGCTTAGTTAGCTTAACCGTTTCTCACCTTGTTCAGCATCTGAAACGACATAAACAAGAGGCCACAGGTGAGTTTGCGGTTTGAAAACGTTACGGTGTTAAAAAGTTAACAAACCACAGTTATTCCCCTCCCACCTCGGGGTTGATCTCCATTGGGGTCCACTCCATTTTTGCACTGTTTCGGCGTGACTCCGCGTGTTGTGTGTGTGCTTTCCTTGCCGGTTTGTAGTCGTCAGTTGAAGTCACAGCGCGTGCCCATATTTTATGCTGCCGGTCATACCACTTACCGGCAGACAGGGGGGTGTCCTCGATCAAATAACTGGTGATGTTCCATATTTAAAAGGCCTTCTGAGAAATATCAAAGGGATTTGAAATGCTAGGTTTTTGTTGCTACATATCTATTTATGTAGTTACATCCCAGATGAGATATTTCCTTCTTCATTAAAAAAAACAAGTTAGATTACACCGCTAAATGTGAGATCACTCTGGTCAAACCACGCTCTTTCTAGAAGCAAAGATGTACAACCCTAATCACTCCCCATCAACAATGGTTGTGGCCAACGAGTTAAATTTAAATATTGTTTGTCATCTATTTTATTGGTAACTGTAGTGGTGTGGAGTGCACAGATCACATGTTAATCATTCAGGCCATATTCTATGATAATATAATATTGTGAGCCCCTATGGCTGCATGAATGTCCACATTCGAACTAAAACAACTGATAATGAACTGTGTAAATACATTCTAACAAGTACATTTTCGCAAGTACTGTAGGCCTACTTTAGTGCCATATTTAGGTACTTGAGTGTTTCCATTTTATTCTGCATTTATTTGACATTTATTTGACAACATTAGTCCCTAGTTTTAGTTACATATACAGATATACTTTTAATTTGAATGCAGGATTTTAGAGTACTTGTAACAGAGGGTTTTTAAACTTTGGTATTGTTACTTTTAGTGAAGTAAAAGATCTGAGAACTTCCTCCATCACTGGTAACACAAGGTATTTATGTTCAGAATCAGAATCAGAACCGTTTATTTGCCAAGTACCTTACACATACAAGGAATTTTAACTTGGTGAATGGTGCATAACAATAAACAATGAACACAGTGCAATAGTCAAGACATCATTTAAAATAGAAACATATTAACATTTACAATAAAATATGTTACACAAACAAACAGATAACAGTACTTTAAAACAAGTATATTGTAAAAGTACCATGTGTATTTAAATATAGAAACATAGAAAGGATGTGCAAGGGAGTGTCTTGAGGATGTAAGAGTCAGAGTCAGTGGGGGTCATGGACTTTGTTGATGAACCCAACTGCAGACAGGAAGAAACTGTTCTTGTGGCGTGAGGTGAACAGTTTATGTCCAGGGTGAGAGGGGTCGGCTACAATCTTTCTTATTCGCTTCAGGGTCCTGGAAGCAAACAAGTCGTGGAGGGACGGCAGATTGCAGCCAATCACCCTCTCAGCAGGATGGACTCAATGATGGCTGAGAAGTGCACCAATCATTGTCTTTGGCAGGTTGAACTTCTTCAGCTGCCTCAGGAAGTACATCCTCTGCTGAGCCTTCTTGGTGATGGAGCTGATGTTAGGGTCCCACTTGAGGTCCTGGGTTATGGTGGAGCCCAGGAAGCAGAAGGACTCCACAGCATTGACGGGGAGTCACACAGGGGCAGGTATGTTTTTACCATCCAATATAAAGATAATAGTGCATTAAATTTGTTCTCGTATAAGGCACTTGCACCTACCAACATGGAAGGAGATCAAGTACATTCTGCGAAAAATGTCTGGACTGAGTTTGTATCGATAATGATAGAACACATGGAAGAACATAGAGATGTATTTCTATGCAAAAAGTTATTTATATATTATTTTTTTTTACAGGTAAGACAATTGTATGTTTTTGGTGGTCATTTTTTTGTCTTTTTAGACCATATTTATTACTTTAGAATAAATATATTGAACTAAATAGGCTGATCTTTTGTTTTTTCTCTAGACTTTATGCAATGGGTTTTTTACTTTCCAAACTAAAAAAATGTGGACATGCATGAGGCAGCGGTCTGTATAAAATGTCTGTGTAAGAAGACAAGAGAGGCAAGAACTCCAACCTATCTACTTTTTGTTTTCTCTGATTACATGGAATGTTGAACAGAGGAAACTGATACATTTGGATACTCAGCAGCTCACAGCATATTCAGTTGAACCCTGGATATAAAACTGCTTTCAGATTTGTTGCTGTACGGTCAAGATCTTTACTCTTAAATCTACTCGATCGGGTAGATTGACTGTAGATGACTGCCATCGGGTAGACACTTGATGGCTGTCGTCATGCATTCCTATCACAGAATGTTTTTGAACGCCTGGTGAAAGCAGCTCATGTGTGGTGGTTGTGATCCTCACAAGATAAGGAAAACCAAAAATTCACTTGTGGACAACAGAACAAAATCAGTTCAGTTTCACTTCTCCTCTCCCATATGCAATAAAAGGAACAAGAATAATCTAATTTTGACCTTTTACCTCAGTTTCCTGTGCACACCAGCGTGCCTATCTCGTAATTTGTGGAGGTGTACGGTGTACCTCCAGGTTGGGGATGGAGCATTGTGGTGTACTTTCGTCTCTTTGTCTCAATCCGCATGCAGTTAGTTCTGTTTCTCTGGTTGTTACTTGAACAATTACAATGCTGCGGACACAGAAGGTGACGATACACTATGACCCAGAAGAGAGATTATTTTCATCATGTGATATGAAGACCATGAGATACAATTGTTAGCCACTAAGAGGCCCTTTAGCAAGGCACTGGCCTCCGCTCAGTAACAATCTCCCCCTCTGTCTCTCTCTCTCTCTCTCTCTCTCTCTCGCTCTCTTTCTGTTTCTTTCTCTCTTTTTCTGTTACTTTCTCTCTCTTTCTGTTACTTTCTCTCTCTTTCTGT